TTAAAAAGAATATAAATAAAGATAATTTTATTAAAATATAAAAGTTTGTTGTATCGAGAAATTAAGTATGAATAAATATATATTGTTTTTAGGACAAAAAGTTGTAAAGAAAAGATTTAATTAGAAGTTTAAAAGCTGTTAGTTTATTAAAATATTGAGAAAAGTTGAATTGTTTGTTAGAGAAAACTTGGTTTTAGTGATCTACGAAGAGAGTTAGGTTAGGTCTTCTTTGTTAATTTTTAGTATATTGTAAGATATTGTTATTATTTTTTCATTGTACCAGTTTTGTACAATATAGTTTCTATATTTGTTTATAAACTTTTTGAACAACTTATGTAGGAGTTTTGTAACAATATTTTTTGCTTCTGTTTGTAATTAAGTAAATGATCTAATTGATAAAATAAGACTAGTAGAAACATATTCTTATAATATTGTATAAATATTAGTTTGTTGCAAAATTATGTTACTAAAAGAAAGGATGTTGTATTATAAAAATATTTCTTGTAGTTCATTAATTTGAGTGCTAGTAATATAATGATATAAGTAATTATTTTTATTATTGTTTCTTGAATAAGATTAGTAAGAAGTATAGAGTTTGAACAGAGAATCCAATATAGTAAGTATTCTGATATATGACATGTGATACAACTATTGCTAGTTATTGCTTCTGGCTATAAGTTATAAAGATGAAAAAGAGTAGATAGTATGTTAAGTTGTAGTTTAATTTTAAAGAATTTACTATTGCTAAGTATAAAGTTTGTATATAAGCTAGTTCTGTTAATGTTGTTATTTAGGTATAGCCAGATTACTTCATAGTTAATTTGTAAAAATAGATAAATATTTATCTGATTTTAAGATAACCATATAGCTATTATGCATGCATTTCAGATATTTTTAATTGCTCATCAGGTAGGTTGTTCAATAGTATATTAGTTATATTGTATAGTATATGAAGTATTGTAAATGTTGTTGTATTGTATGTCCAGAAAATTGTTGAGTTGTAGTTTGATGTAAGCTTATCTGCTTCATTATTGAATATGTTGTCTTTATAAGCTAGTATTTTGTAAAGTATAATGTTATATTATATGATCTAATTAAATTAATAATTGTATACCATATTGGCTAATAATTATAAGAATATTGTTTATGTTATAATATTATATTATTAGTAATTTTGTTGAATTTGAAAATTACAGATTGTAAGTTAGTGTAGATTTGGATATTGCTATTCTTATAATATGTACAAATAGCTGATAGAATAGCTACGGCATAGGGCAAGTTCATCTGATTGGCTAAAAAAAAAGATCATCATTTATATAGATCAATTGTAACTTTATAATACTTACAATATATCAATTGATTCGTAATAATAATTTTTTTTCAGTAGAGATATAGAAAATAACATTATAAATCTAAACTTAACACTCCATTTCATCATTTAGAAATTTATATCCAGTTACATCTAGCAGCTACCAATTCTAAATGAGAAGGCAAAATGTTAGTTTTAACTTTTGTGGTACTATAAAAGTAGTTATTTGTTGAATTTCTACTAACTAGTTCACAAAATGAATAGCCACTTTAAAACTTGCTAGTTTCACTAGAAGGTAACTATTATTAGAACTTCTAGCATATTTTTTTATTACCAAGCACTAACACGATCAATAGCATTCAAAAAAGCTATGTGTATATTTTGGGTTTGACTTGGTTCTACCTCTTCTGCTGCTTCATTGTCTCCTGTTGAAGCTTCTTCAGTATTATTTTTTTCTTCAGTGGTAAGAACATTTTGTCCTTTTTCTAACCTGTTTAGAAATGAATTGACATTGCTGTAAACTCCACATTTATAGTACTCCTCACAGTAATAGCAACTATATTCCATGATTTGATAACATTCAATATGATATCCATGTTTACAAATCAATACTTTACCATCATCAAATTGTTTATGACAATAATTACAAGCATCTGGCAGCAGAAGTTTGCTTGTACTATATGCTGTTGGAAGACATTTTGGGTTAACAGTCTCTTTTAAAGTAGCTAACTTATACAAGTTTTTTTGGTAGAATTTGCTTTTTCTTTGATTTTCGAAAAGGCATTGGAAATATTCTAATAAAAATAATGCTGTTTTTTTTGTAAGAAAGTCTAACGTTGATGGCCCATAAGAATATTGCCATGTTTTTTTAAACATATTTTTAAGTTTACCATAATCTTGTGCATCTTGTGAAATATTATTAATGAATTATATAATTTCTTTAGAACCTTTTATGACAAACTGACATAAGAAAATACTTACCAATAACATAAGCTTGTCTAATAATATTATCAACACTACTAAAGCTTACTATGCATATTCTCAACATAGTAATCATTAAAGTGTACCAAAAATAGCTTTATGACCTCTGCAAGTGGATGGTTAGTATCTTGCCAATAGAAAATATCTCAAAGAAATGCTAGTATTGCTTTGTTATAATTGTGACATTTCCATCTAAGAGTGAATATCCATATTCTAAAGATAGTTTCTATGTATTCATTAAATGAACCAGATCGAAAAAGGATGACATAAACATCTAACATTGCTGGAATTATATTATCCAATAAATCGATGGTCATACAATATTCTATATCTTTGCAGTTGTGTTCGAATTTCATTATAATCATTTTTCAAATTTTGCATCATCTATTATAGACCAGATTGAGAAGCAAATTGATTCTTCATGGTTTCAGTTTTTTGGCAAGTTTCTTTCTTTTACCAAAAATAAAATGAAATAATTTTTCAAAAAAAATAATATGTTATTAATACTTGCTTTCTGCTATTTAGAGAGACATAAAGAGGTCCCATAATTGGAACAAATGAACTGATTTCAGTTGGTATAGAATATTGAGAGTTTGTTTTATTTAAATTTATAAGTGCTTTGCGAATAAATAATTGCCTGGGCCAGTCTGCTACTATTGGTATAACTTTATTAGCTAAATGTTGAATATCATTATTAATATCTAAAATCATTTTAAGTGCCTCTATATAATCATCTATAGAATGCAAATTCCTTTTCTGAAGGCCAACTAATTACACTCTTTCCATTGACTGTTTTTTTTTTTTCTAGAATTGTATTATCATAACTATGAACTGTAAGCAGATCAATCTGATCGAAATTATCAATGTACACTCTTTTATAGGTAAGCCATTGGTTCTTATGATTGGTGTAAGTAATATCGAATATTTCATGATAATTGTAGATTAATCGAAAACAGATATTACTTGCATCAATGTTTACAGGATTATAGGCTGATATACAATTAAACACAAGAGAGATAGGTGCACAAGTCGAAACTTGCTTGCAAACACAAGTGGCCATGTGTTTAGCCATTGATAAAGCCACCATATCTGGCCTTCTTTTTTCATAGATGTTATAATAATCATCCAAATTGTACATGTATAAATAATTATTCTATATCAAAATTATAACATTAAATAAAGAATCAGTATTTTAGCACCCATGTTGAATTTTGTAACATTCTTTTACTATAATATTATGGGTTTAGTTGTGGTATTTCTTATATTAATATATGTCAAGTTCCTTTAAATGCTTCGATAACAAAAAAAATCTTTTATTAATGCTAATAATATTCATATATGTGTCACAAATAAAGTCTAAAATTCTTGAATTTTGGATATTTCACTTCACAAAATACACTTTCATTCCTTGAAAAATGTGCCATCAAATGAAATTTTATTTCTAAAGATTTTTTAAATGACAATTTTCAAAAAACAATAAGCACTTAATAAAGTGAAATATCTGAAATTTTATCCTATATAGTTTTTTTTTTAACATTCTATAACTAAAATTTTGCTTGTAGACCTAATGTAACATGATATTACAGAACAATATGGCCTCTCTATTATATGATATGGGTCTTTGATAGCAAAAAGACCTTTTGGAACTATAGTCAATGGCAAAATTACTGAATTGCAATGTAACATTTGAACAATACAATACAGAATTTTATAAATAATTTTACCATTAACTATTGTATATTTAATATTTCTTTTTGTTAGCAAAGACCTTATATTATTGCAATATCAGCAATTACAGGGATAAAGCAAGACTAGATATATGTATTAAAAATATCAAATTCCTTAAAATATTTTTAATTCTATACTTACCTGTGTAGAGAAATATTCTCTAATTTGTTTAGGATGTTCTTTTGCAAGTTTCTGCATATAATCATTAATCATTTGGTAGCAGAAAGAGAAACCAATACTATGCATTGTATCAATTGCAGTACGGGATGTTCCTGATGCTAGTAAGTATAGTCCAACTTCTAATTTGAAGTCATTGACAAATTTGTTTTTCAGTCCTGTCATTGCATAGCATAAACTGACAATTGATTTTTTTGCTTCGACCTTATTATATGCAAATCTACTGTTAGGAATTAATGCTTCTACCATTTCGTCAAAAAAACCTTTTAATCATGAATCTGAATCTTCAATTATTTGTTGAAAATAAATATGATTAAGTACTATATTAGCAGATTTACAATGTTTCTTATATAAAAGTCTTGTGAGTATTGTATTCGCTTAGCAAATGTCAATTCTAAGTAAAATTAATTTATTATAAATTATAGTCAAATATCATCATATAACGCTCTATACATCATCTCTTCTTTATGTTTCACATATGTTTTGTTTTTATTAATAGAAAAAATAACTTAAATAACTAGTATAAATGTGTGAGTGAAGCATAAAAAAAGTGTATTGCATAGGCGTTATACAAAATTATATTTAGTATTACTATTTATTTTATTTTTACTATCTATTTCTATTAAAGTAAGAACCTCTGTTAGAACTTCTGATGGAGCCTCTAACTTCTTATTATGGTCAGGCTTAACAATAATCATATGATGCCTATAGCACAATTGTTGCCCAATTGTTAAATAGGCATAGGAGGTATAGGTTCCTCTTTTTTGAGCTTTTTCATATGCTACTGGAGTAAATTTGCGAAAATGACCTGTTGTTGTATCACAATCTTGTACTGAACATGGGCCTGCATTTTTTGGAGACATAACTAAGGTGTTTTATTAATTTCTTTTATGTAAAGTATCAAAAATTGTAACATGTTGATAGTAAAGTACTGAAGTAGCATGTTTATAAATTTATTAACTAATCAATGAGTATTGTAAAATTATAGTTGATCAATATAATTGAAGATTATTTGTTTTAACCAATAAAATCGAACTTGCCCTATGCTAATAGCTACTAACTCAGCTTTGTATAATAATAGCCAGAATTTAATTTGAGAAGAGTAAGTTTCAATAATAGTATTGTTATATATTTGTATTCATCCAATATTTATTGAACATTTATCAGTAGTAATATTGGTAACAGATCCATTAGTATAAAAAATAAAGTTGGTATATTGGGCATGTTGGTTTGCAATTTGTTGTAATTTAATAGAAAATGAATTGGTATGAAAAATAAAAGAGATTGAATCTTATGATAAGATAATAAATAGAAGTATAAGAATTCTAATAGAGTTGTATAATGCAATTAAGTATTTAAGATCTATATAATTTGCATTGAGCTTAAGTTTGTAGAATTTTGTTATTTTTTCCTAAAAATTTTATAAACAAAGTGGCAAAAATGTCAAATGTATAGTGATTTAGTATTCTGTTGGATTGTGTGAGCATCCTGTACATAGTATACAATTAACTGATAAAAGTAGATAGAGGTTGTGTTAAGTGCATTTGCTTTGATTGTCCAGTATATAATAGATATAGTGTTGTTGTTTTAGTTATATTTATATATCTTTTTTATAATTAATTGTTCACTATTGTAATCAACAGTAATAAGCCAAGGTTTTGATATTAAATTGTAATGTTTAGTTGTAAAAGATAAAGAGTTAGTTTGTAAAAAACTCAGATTAGAGTTAAGTTTTCTAGCAAGAGTATGTGTAATAGTTTTGTTTTCTAATATTTTAAACTATTTTGGTTTATGTTTTGTAGAAATTTGTTCAAGTCTTAGTAAAATATATTTCTAATCTAAAAGTGTGAAGTTATCAATAAGGTTAGTTATTTAGGTAAATAATATGTTTGGTTCATAATTGTTATTTGAAGTTATTATAATCTTTATATGTTTTAAAAATATTTTCAATTGTTGTATATGGTATTGTAGTATATATGGTAGTATTGTGTATACAAAGATAATAAATTGTAGATGTTATAGTAATAGTATTATTTGATATGTTGTTGTATTTTTATTTGGGCCATCTATTAGTAGATATAAATATTGTAAGATATTAGTAGTAGACTACAAGTTATTTTGTAATTGTTGTAATCAAATATGTATACTAGTTTCAAGTAAATCTATAGTATTCAGTTAAATTAAGAAGTTGGTAATGTGATGTTGTAATTGGATATTTTATATGCTTTTGTTATTATATATATTATGGTTTAGTATAGTTTAAGTTGGAGTAGTTAGTGCAAGTTTAAATTTTGGTTTGGCAGTAGTAAGATATCTGAATAAAATTTTGTTACATATATGTTAGAAAAGTACTATATTATATATATGATATTCGATAATAAAGATAATAATATTATTAATTATATAAAAAACTTGTTTGTCTATTATTTGTTTAGTTTGAACTATATTTGTTAAACCAAATATTTTTTGTAAAATAAGTTTGATTGTAATGGCTTGTTTGTTGGTTACAATATACCCTATCGAAAAAAGTATACGGAATTTATTTAGAAATTATACGGAATTTTTCCGTATTAAATTCTGTATTCAATAAT